TATTATTATTTTTTTGTCTGTAACTAATCAACTATTACATTTTGTAGGTTGGGAGGCATTACATTGTAGATGCAACTACAGAGGAGGAATCCCAAATGAGTTCGGCTATCTCGGTTTCTATAAATAGGCAAGGGCGAATATGTGGGCTGACGAAAAGAGGAGGTGCGGGCCTCGACCCAAGTGTGATACTGGACATGATATCTGTTGCTAAACATGTGAGTGAGCAGTTGATGAACAAATTAGATTCGGAAATAGCTGCAGCCGAGGCCTGTGATGATGAGGATGATGACATGGAGTCTTAAAGGGGTGCGATAGATTGGCCCTTTTATTTATTTTTTATTTTTTTTTGTTTTGCCTTTTTTGTACCTTTTAATGGGAGATGTGGTGTTCTGCATTCTGTTCTGAATACTGGAAATGGGTAGTGAAAAATTTTGTTCAAATTTTCGTATCTTCGAAGTTTGAAGGATGTGTTCATTGGGATTTTAGGTTCAATTTTCATGTAAACGATTAAAGGGTTTAATGCTTTTGCTCATTTGCAGCTTGGTTCAGTTTTGCTCACTTGAGTTTTTCTTCTTGTGGATATGTACGAGATATTACATTGTGATTCAGGGGTTAAGGTCGTTGTTACTCTTTGAAATTATTGGAAGGCTAATGGCTTGCTGCTCAATATTGAGGTTTCAGCCCTATTTTTAAGAGATTAGTGGTTGAGCTTGAGTTTGAGTTGTCATTTATTCAAATTGAAATTTCATGTTAAATTCCATTCGAACTTTTTCATACTAAATTCCATTCAAACAAAAGTTAAGATTGTATTAGATACGAGAGTTCAACATATGTTACAAAACCATTTAGGATGATAATATTGAGAAGATGGACTCTTATGATGATAATATTGAGAACTTATTATAGTTTTCTCAGGTAATACTACATCATAAACAAGAGAAAATTACTCCCCTTCATTTGCTTATGGAAATGATATCAAAAGTACGAGTACCAAACATACGTTTTCATCAAAAATACGTTCAGGTGGTTATTTGGGGCCTAATTAACAGTTAATTCGGTATAATTATTAATTAGAAAAGAAATCAAAATCTCTCTCTCCATATCCGATTATTGTGTATAGAACTTCATCTCTCACAAAAAAAAAAAAAAAACTTTATCTCTCATCTCTCATATACAAAACAACTGAACTCATCTCAGCGAAAAACTTCATCGACCCAAAATATATTATTGCACACACACAAGATGGCGACGGCGACAACACCTCCATCGGAAAACCCTATCAATGGCTCCGATGTAGATTCGAAGCCTCTGGCCGTCGGAGACGACCCATCGAAGAAGACGCCGGCATCCTTCGGCGGAGGCGTCGCCGAATCGAAGGGTGAATCAGCTGTTATCCACGGCGGCGTTGCTGTTGTAACAAATATCCAGAAGAAGATGAAGATCGCGGAGGGGTTCGGCATGCCGGTGCAAATGACGGAGGAAAAGCGTAGTTCTCGATTTTTGCGCGCCGCCACGAAGGTGTGGTAAACATATACACAAATTATACGTTAGTTATACATAATTTATACTGTGTTGTTTTTTGGAGTGCTCAAAGTTGTTGGTTGAACTTTGTAAATGTCGTGTAAAGTACACATATTTTATCCCTTTTTGGTGTCGTTTATATGTTGTTTATCTTACGTATAACTATACGACTAATATTAGAGAACTGTCAGATCATGTTTATTTGATGTATATATACAGTATATTCGAACTATCAGATCATGTTCAATCCCAATCGGAGTTTTATTTTTTTTCATGGACGATTTTTTTTTTTCGAATTCAAGATGTGGAAGAATAGAGAATTCTTTTTGAAAATTTAAATTGGTGAATCCCTTAATTCTATGTATCATATTTGGTATTT